CCTTTTATTTTCAGTTATGAAATCACATACATAGCATTATAGTTTTAGGTTTTCTTAAATCTTTTTTAGATAGTCTTAAGCTATAATTAAAATTTCCCATAGAGCTATATTATTCCTATTTACTCAGTTGTTTGCTTATTTGTGACTACTTTCTTTTCAGAGAAGCTCATTTTTCCTGTGCAAGTATACTGGTGGCTTTACAGTTCAGACTTTATCACAGTAAAAACTATAATCTGACTACCCAAGGATAACTTTTAATGCTTTAATATAAGTTGTTATATTTGAGGGCTTAATTATATTCTGAATATTTTATTTTGAAGAAAGTAATATTTTTGTTGTTGTTGTTAATCCTCACCCAAGGATATTTTTTCCATTGATTTTTAGAGAGAGTGGAAGGAAGGGGGGGGGGGGAGAGAGAGAAACATTGATGTGTAAGAGACACATTGATTGGTTGCCTTTCGACTGGGGCTGGGGACTAAGTCTGCAACTCAGGTACACGGCCTTGACCGGGAATCAAACCCAATAGGGTGAAAGTAGCATTAAAAAAATTTTTTTTTATTTATAGATTTGAGAGAGAGAAATATCGATTTGTTGTTCCACTTATTTATACTTTCATTGGTTGATTCTTGTATGTGCGCTAAATGGGCACATGCTTGAACCCGCAACCTTGGTGTAGTGGGACGATGCTCTAACCAACTGAGCTACCTGGCAAGGGCTAAGAAAATAGTGTTGTTAAAGTTGATATATATATACTGATGCTTACTGGGCCTGTTTTATGCCAGAAATCATGCTGGGTAATGTCGGGAGGCACTGCAGAAGAAATATAGAACATGGGATTGTCCTCAGCTAGCCAGCAAACTTTTGGAGGATTTTAGTCCAATATGAGGAAATGAATCAATACTGTTTAAATCCGCATGATTTCTGTTAATATTCCTCTGAAGGTTCAGAAGGGTTCTGCTTGAAAGGTCCCCTGTGTGAAGAAACTGAAGCATCAGACAGTGTTGACGGAGGTTACGATTCTGTCATTTTGGATCCAGAGAGACTCGAACCTAGACTGGATGAGGAGGACACGTACGTTGTGCTGTACCTAGAAAGCTTTAGTTGTGGGGTGTGAGTGTGTGTGTATGTGTGTAATTAACCTTAATAATGTCAGGTTTAACAGGAGCTGGTTATATTATTTTACACTATAAGTGAATATTTATAACTTGATCTTTTATCTGAGGTGGGTAATGCATAACGGTAATTACTAATTCCTGACTGAGCCAAATGTTTAAAATTGTTCAGCTTGGATTTATTGTTTTTTAATATATTTTCTATTGAAAATATTATTGAAAGAGTGAAAGAAGTGTTCTTTTGAAAGAACTAACCAATTTTTTTTCTGTGTTCAGTTGCCTTGGAGCTCATTTTTTAAAAAATGTGAATATTGTTATGGTGTTGTTCTGCTTTGAACCTATCAACAAATACTTACCATACCCCTAACATGGAGGCTTAATATCCATATCATTTTTTCACAGAGACTTTGAGGAGGAAGACAACAACTTTGATTGGGTGTCAGAACTGAAGCAGCGAGCTGGCTGGCAAGGAGCATCTGGTGACTAATGCCCAAGGAAATGTTCCTTAGTCACATTGAATAGATTTTTAAAGTGAGGAATTAATGTTTTGATATTAGCTAACGGACTGTATATTTTCCCTTGGAAACAGAATGGGGTAGGGGTGCTGTGGATATTTAAAATTGTTCCTGATTCGTTTAAAAATCTACAATTCTTGTGCGTTTTTTAATGCAAAGGAGAAGGTGTAGAATTATGGGTGTGAGCTTCAGGCTTTGCAGTCAGATAGAACAGAAATTGGATGCTCATTATTTGTGTGATTGTGGGAAATTACTTAACCTCTTTGGGCCCGAATTTCCTCAACTATAACATGAGGATAATAATGCCTATCTCATAGGGATGCTGACCATGGAGCATGAGAGCAACCCATAATGTTATTATTTGCATTGTTATGATTTCTGTTTATTACTATGTAACTCTTTTTACATTTCCTAAAGATTTTAGGATCTAAATATATTTAATTATAACATAATAATGTGTGCAATTTTTCAATAAGACTCTCTTGGTAGTGATCAATGATCTTCCGTGATCTTTACTACCATCTGTCCTTAAATATAGCCCCTCACAGGATACACAAAAGAAACCAGTTCAGATGATCCATCCTGGGAGGAGTGGAAAGGGTTACGTATCTTTTCAGAAGTTGTCAGTCCTGTACAGGGGAAAGGAATAGGGCCAACGGTGAGGAATCAATATGGAAAGTACCAGAAATTAGAATGTTGTGGAACTAATGGAAGGAGCAGGATCCCAACATATATGCAAAGGGTCACTATGACACACTGTGCTGGGTCCTGTCATTAAATCCATGATCAATTAGCGGGGTAAGATTATTTTACTAAAGCCCTGGCTGGTTCGGCTCAGTGGATAGAGCATTAGCCTGTGGACTGAAGGGTCCCGGGTTCGATGCTGGTCAAGGGCACATGCCCGGATTGTGGGCTCGATCCCCAGTTGGTGACGTGCAGGAGGCAGCCAATCAATGATTCTCTCTCATCATGGATGTTTCGATCTCTCTCTCTTTCTCCCTTCCTCTCTGAAATCGATGAAAATATATTTAAAAAAATACTTTACTAAAGAAGAAACAGTTTCTTCTCTGGGGATTCCACAGGGGCAAGTGTAGGAACAGCATATGCCTGACCTAGTATAGGGAACAATGCTCAAGTGAAGAATAGGAGGAAAAAGATAGTGAAACTACAGTAGGATCATTATTAAGGATCTGCTGAAATATGGAATACATACATCTGATTTAAACATTTTTGCCCTGACCCATGTGGCTCAGTTGGTTGAGTGTCATCCCTTGCACCGAGAGATCCTGATTTGATTCCCTGTCAGGGCACATGCCCGGATTGCAGGCTTGATCCCCAGTAGGGGGCATGTAGGACGAGGCTGATTGATGTTTCCCTGTCATCGCTGTTTCTCTCCCTCTCCCTCTCCCTCTAAAATCAATAAAAAACATATTTTGTAAAAAAAAATTAAACATGTTTTTATCTTAACATACAAAAACTGGTACAGAACTTCACCCCTCACAGTTTATATATATTTCAACATTTAGTCAGCCTTAGTCTCCTCTGGTCTCTGACAGTCTCTCTGTCTTTCCTTATTTCTCAGGACCTTGAGATCTTTGAGGAGTACTGGTTAGGCATTGTGTAGAATGTTCCTCAGATTGGGTTTGTCTGATGTTATTTTCATAATGAGACTGAGCTTAAAGGTTTGGGGGAAGATTATCATAGAAGTGAAGTGCTTTTCCCATCACATCATATCAGATGGGTTGCAGGCTCGATCCCCAGTAGGGGGCGTGCAGGAGGCAGCCGATCAATGATTCTCTCTCATCATTGATGTTTCTATCTCTCTCTCCCTCTCCCTTCCTCTCTGAAGTCAATTAAAAAAAAAAAAGGAAAGAAAGAAAGAATAAAGAAACCTAGCTTGTACCATCCACCATCCAGTTAGTTGTTCAACATCAGTATACATGTAAAGCAGTTTCCAAATTATTAACCCATACCCCTGTGAGAAACAAATATACCAACTATAATAGATTTTATGTATTGTTCTTATTGTCTTTAGCTTTACAATTCCAGTCAAAATACTATTTCTTAAAGTTACTTAGGTTAGCTTCTTTTTTTTTCACCATTCTTGAGGATTTCAAAAGTTAAGGTAGGCAGAGATAATTTTAAATATATTTGCAGATATTCAGCTTTCATAAGTACTATATTTTAGTATTACTCCAGTGTGTAAAAATTTCCAAACCATCAAACAGAGGGAACTTGAAATTATGTATAGTTTTTGAGAGACTGAATCTTGATTGAATGACAAATCCTTTTGAAAGTCAAATGGTTTGCAAGGTTTTGCTTTTAATGAAATTTCAAGAGACTCAATGGTTAAAGACCATTTTTAGTGATAAATTGCTATATGATTCTTGACGTACAACTAGACAAGAATTGAGAGACTCCTTTAACAAAACTTCCAATTCTATTTACTTACATGAATGTGGTTTCTCAGCACTTACAGCTTTAAAAAGAGAAAAACAGAAGAGAATCAATGTTAAACCTTGTCTAGTCCAGCAAAAAGTTAGCATTCTTCTATAGATACTAACTGAACTAATTGGGAGGGAGGAAGAAGAAAGTCCATTCAAGTCTTTAAGAGATGAATGTCTGATACAGTTTTACTTTTTATAATTAAGTATTTATCAATGTAATTTATTTTATTTTGATCAACGATGTACTACTAATAATTTTAATAATCCAGTAAAAAGCCTATATCAGGAAAAAGTAATTTCCATTTTTATAATAGGGTGATCAATAAGATTTTTAAGCATGAAAAACATTACATGGAGGAGATAAGAGTTCAGGGAGAAAAAGGAATAATATAAACTTTCTGATTCTTAAAGAAGAGTTTACTTTTTTAATTAATTGGAAAAATTTTTAATAAGCATCAAATGCACTTTACATTGATAATCGCTATACTGAAATTGTGATATTTTAAATTTTTTTCTCTAAAAAGGTTAGTGATTTTCTTTTTTTCTGGGAAACATAGAGATCCAACTAACTATGAGCATTAATGTGGTCAGTCTAGGTCAGTATGGTTTAGTTAATGCTAATATTGAAACAAGTGCCATTTCATATCTGTAATAAGGTAGACTGTGAACTTCTGTATCACTGAAATGCAAAAATTCCATGAGATAATTTAAAGGGATGTCAAATTTTTTTAAGTGTAAACTCATAAACTCTACATTGGGATCACTTTTTTGCTTGACTTGAGTGCACCTGACTTGAGAATACGAACGATTTTCTTCCCTAATTCCTTGGGAAAATATATCAGCAATAAGTCTGTATCTTCTTTATTATGACTGAGTTGTTTGTTTGTTTTGTTTTTCTGCTTTTACTTTTATTACTATTTACTTTATGCTTAATTTACTCCCGAGCCATAAGTTTTTGTTTCTTCAGTTTCTTCTGGGATATCTGGGGAAAGAAAAAAATAAAAATGACTGTTAAGTTTCCTGAAGAAACACCCACACTACAACTTAAAGGAGTAGGTCTTAACTCAGTGAAAGAATTGGAAACTTCAATCATGGCTGAGTTGTTTTAAGAAAGATTATCAGCCTGGCCAGAGTGGTTCAGTTGGTTGAGTGCAGTCCCATGCACCAGGAGGTTGCTGGTTCGATTCTGGTCAGGGCACATGCCCAAGTTGCTACCATTTATTGCAAAGAAAATATCACCACAACACTGAAAAGTAGGATCACGGGATGAAGACAATATCTAAGGACACTTCCCTCACAACCAAATGAAATACCTATCATACTCATTAAGTTTAATAAAGCATTCCTAGACAATTCAATTGTACTGATTCCATATACATAACCAAACTGGATTTTGCCAGCCAGTAATAATATGACTCCAAAAGCAAAGCAAAACACCATGGTTCCTGCCAGATGAGCCTCATTCATGATGCTGCCATCTGCTACTTTTAATGGGTGTAACACTGTTCGTATTTTTTGCCAGATGTGGTCAAAATTGATACCTAATTCTTCCAATAAAAGTGGTTCATCCTCAAAGCTGTTTCCATGGAATGGCTGAGGAGCAGTTGGAGTATATGTCTGAGCTGGCTGGGAATCTGCCTGGCGTATGGCTGCTGCGGCTGCAACACGTCTGGAGGGACATACCGACCTTGCTGCGAGTAGTCACAGCCAGCACACTGTTTGCTACAGGGGCCTCCCCTTCCTCCATAATCAGGACTGCTGTGACCAGTCATCGATGCTGTAACTTGTCTGGTAGAAATCTGTGTTTAAGTTATCAAAGCCTGACATTGCAAATGATCAAACTGGAAGCCGTGACAATAACTCCAGCAGCCCCAACTACCCCCCACCCCAACTCAGCTCAAGATCCTGAATTGGCCCCATGCTACGCGTCACGGGCCGAAGAACTGCCGAGCTTTTTATTTATTATTTTTAATAGATAATGGTGGGTTTCAAATTGCCATGGTATCTGGATTCCATTTGTATGTTTTACTTGTGTCAGTATTTATAGTTGCTGGAAATTACATCCTTCTCAATTACTGAACATGTAATGAAACGTTTTAGCAGCTTAATGTGCAATCTGGAATGAGGAATAGTGGGGGTTAGGGGAGGGGAGCAGCAGCCAGTTTTCTAAGAGGACCCCAAGGGAGGCCGCTGGCTGTGGACGGAATTGTAGGATTCCATTCCAAGTGTCCATCTCTTGACAGGAATTGAGACCTTGCACAAGAAACTTCCTGTCTCAATTTAGCCCATTTGTAAAACTGGGCGTCCACTACTTTGCTGGGTTATTGTAAAGAATAGAGATAATATGTGCAAAGAATTGGTACGCCGCAGGCAAGAACGGGAACGGTGTGCTTGCTGAGTGTTAGCAAAGGAGTTTCGACTTAAGTCAACCGGAGGTGACACGCTAGGTCTCCAAACTCGCTGGCCTCTGACCTCTCCTCCGGGTGGACGGTGGGACCCCCCTCTCCGGGCCGGTTCCCGCGCCCCGCCCCCGCCCCGCGCGGCTCCGCCCAGCGGCCGGAACGCAGTCCGCCGGGAGGCTTCCCTCGCCCCGCACAGCCCGGGAGCAGGTATGCAGCGGGCGGGCCCCCTAGTCCTTACCCCGGGCTGCTCCCCAGGGCTCTGGGATCCTCAGGGAATGGAATGGAGCTCATACCCCAGGAGACCATGCGGCAGAGGAGCGGTCTCCTATGCGTCGGTCTCCATGGCAATGCGCGGCGCACTCAATTCCTTCCGGAGTGTTCCTAAAGGAGGATTTTCCCCAAAACCTGGGGCTCTCACCCCCTGGTGCCACCTCAGGAGCGTCAGGGGCCCGTAGTTCCCGCGCTGCTGCCCTTGAGTTTCGATTCCCTATCTGCTTCCCTCAAAATTCTGGTGTCCGCAGCTTCCTGTGGGTGCGGAGCTGGTGCCCCATCACATCCAATCTACCCCCTTCCTACCCTGACAAAAGTTACTCTAGAG